ATCACCAGGAATTTGTACTCAAAGGGACTGCTTGCTCTAAGCCAGCGGTTCTCAACCTGTGGGTTGCGACCCCTGTGGGGATCAAACGACCCTTTTACTGGGGTCGCCCGATTCATAACAGTAGCAAAATTGCAGTTATGAAGTAGCAACGAAAATAATTTTATGGTTGGGGGGTCACCACAACATGAGGAACTGTAGTAAAGGGTTGCGGCATTAGGAAGGTTGAGAACCACTGCTCTGAGCGACCAGATATTCCAGGCAGATAGATCCACTCAGACACACCACCACATCTATCTCCTGGAGTGCTAAAGAAACTCCCTCTGGAAAGCTGATTTCCAAAAAGGACCTGCTCTGGTTGTTATCCCGGATGGCAGGCTGACCCCCGCCAGGGCTCAGGCGCAACTTCCCAGCATGAGTCTAGCTGGACCCAGCCAGACGCCTTTACAGCAAACCCATGTATGTACCAGGATCACCAGGATCGCAGCACAAGTACTCAGTCACTGCAGCTTCGCCCAACTGAGCAGTTTCCTAAAAGTCTCTGCTCATTCTTATGAATAAACATGAACTTACTCTCCTGCTGGAAAGGAAACCCCAACAGTTTCTTTGCTTGGGGAGGCAAGGGTAAGCGTTCGATACCCCAAATTCCACAATCACTGCCATGGACTCGATGCTGACTCACAGGGACTGAGTTAACGTTTATTGTGCCAACCTGGCCGATAAACACATGTGGGGTTAATTGAAGGGTGGAGGGATTAAATGGCTTGGTGAGCCTCACCTTTCTAGTTCCGTCTCTTGTTTTGTGGTGGCCAGACCAGGGTGCAGCTGCCTTGGCCAGTTCCCTGCTTCCGCTGGCAAGGCTCACTTCCTGCAAGACATCCCTGAGAAGCTGCATGAACCTATCCCGATGCAGCCCTGGGTGCTGGAGCAGCCGTGTGGAGACCCCTGCCAGCACTGAGATGCTTACACGTTCACTGATTCAGCTTTCCTCCTGTAGTTAGCGTCATTGCTTGTGCTTTGTGAGATGGAGGACTTTGTAGATCGGTGTCAGACATATGGGCTTGGGCAGCACTGGGTTGGGATGTTTTCTTAATGTGCACTTACCCTTTATATAAAACTCTCTCTTATACATGAGTTTCTGTGGATTTGCTTCTCTAGTCTACCCAGACTATCACAGTGCCCCAGCAGTTAGCAACCACTCCGCCATCAGGGCTCCTGGCAAGCATTAAATAGTCCCTCCTTCTTCCCACCACCCCCAAGCGGCTTCCTTTTAAGTAAACCTTTGCTTGTGTGAAAAACCATTCTCTCTCCTGATTTTTGGTCAGTAGTAGGAGGCAAGATTCCTCCTTTACAGTGTTGGCTGGGCAACAGTGGCCCTCGGTGACACTTCTTTCAAGAGAGATTTGTTTGTTCTTCTGGCAGTCCATAGTAGATTCAATGTCCTTTGACACCACCGTAATTGAAGGAGACAATTCTTTAGTCTTTGCACGAATGCACAGCTGTTGGAAACACCGTGGTTAGGGTTAGGGCACCTTGGTCCTCAAGGTGACGTTTCTTGGCTTTGTAACACTTTGAAGAGGCCTTTCGCAGATTCCCCAACACAATAGGTTGCTTTGATGGCTTTACTGCCGCACCCATGGGGGTAAGATGACTGGGGACCCAAGTATAAGAAAAGCGACAACTTCAGTATCTTCACTATGTAGCATGATGCTGTCGGGCCCGCTGTAGAATTTTATGTCTAAGTGTGATCCATGCAAGGGGACTGACAACCAGCAATTCATAGAAAAATTGAATGACATTTCCCATAAACTTTTGAAGCCTTGAAGGCGGCAGTGCTTGATCTTCCTCAGTACTTCGAGTCTTCTCCCGCAAGGTCCTGTTATCTGCCTCTTGCAGGTTGTAGCTGAGCCTGCCTGCCTTCTGTACCAAGCCGTCAACAGAACAAAAGGAAGATGGAAGGCGGGGCTTAAAATCAGGACAGGTGTGCAGCAGGGTGGTAGCCTTTCACCGCCTCTCTATTCTGAGATAGTAATTCAAGAAACAGTACTATATGAAAAAAAGGCGTTGTCGGATTGGAGAAAGCACCGCAGGATAATACATAAGTGAGTGGGCATAAATGCAGTCCAAAACCAGGCAGCAAGCCTTAGTTTCTTTATTTCAGAAAATGAATATTATCTTTAGTGTTACAGCTCAAATTCTAAAGAACTTGGTTTGCTGCAGCCTACAGTTTACAGTTAGAAGATGAGGCCTTCTATTCCCACAGTGTTGGGTGTCAGAAACCCACAGCGGCAGTTCTACGCGGTTCTATACGGTCACTGGAGAGCCGCTAGGAACCAGAATCGAACCCATGGCGTGAGTTTTCAGTTTACAGTGGGTGCTGGCTCAGGGAGGGGCAGCCTTGCCTTAAGGGGACCCACCTGAGCATGCACTGAGTGAAAATTCGGATATCAGAGCTACACCACCTTGACCCCTACCCTGACCTCAAGTATTCAGGTGGCTGGAGGGATTCAGAGGCAGTCTTGTACACGTTTCTACCCTGCATTTGTGTACGTAACCCAATCACGGTGCCCCCCTTCTAGAATCCCACCTGCAATGGTAATAAATTGATCATGGTTTTGTCCCAATTTCCTGTTTTCTATCAACTATTAATTAATAAATCACGTGGCCATAAACCATTTGGTCACCATTAAGGCTTTGTGCTGACCTCCTTCGTCCAGATAATCCCCCTTGTCTTTGTCTTGTTTGATTTGATCAAGGGGACTAGGGCACTCTAAAATAATTTGGAGTCTCCCACCCTCCCTTTAAGAAGACCACATAAGATTTTGTCTTAAAAGTATTTTTAAAACTCTGTAAATGTCAAATTCCTTTTCTCTCATCCCAAACTGTGGAAATAAAAATAACTATCAAGCTGGTTCCCCTTCCTTTGAAACCAGCAACACATATAACATGCAACTCCTTTTCTTTGGACTCAGAACCACCCGGAGTGAAGTCGTCTCCCCAAGGGCCCCATCCTCTATAGACAACTGAGAACGTGTGCAGAGACCCCTCACCACCACCTGCCAGCTCCCACGAGGCCTCACCTTGCAGGATTTGTCAGACGTTAGGGTTCAGGATAGGGAAGAGGAAACGATGGGCGGGGCCGGCCGGCTCTGGGACTTCCCAACCCAGTAAGCTTCATACTACCCTCCCAGGTGCACCAGTATCTGCAACCAACCAGGAGGCCCATCTGCGTCTCCCTGTGTCCAGAGCCTGGTTCTCCTCTCGCGAAGAAGCAACTCCCAAGAGCACTCATTAGTGTAAACGCTCAGGTGTGCGCCGGAGGCCCCACCGAAGGCCCCACCACTGGGGAAATCGCAGGCAGGAACCAAGGGCAAAGACTGAAATCGTTTAGGTAACATGAATTGTTTACCCAGAAATTGTTTCCCCCCCTTTTAAATATTGAAAAAAAAAGTTTCAACATATACGTATATAACCTCTAGAGTGATTTATAAAAATAAACTTAGTAGTTGTATCCAAGTGTTTCCCATGCCTTTGACCCATTCGCCTCATTTTGCTTCGCTGTGGCTTTTATTTGCATTTCTCTGATGAATGACCTTGAACTCTAACTTCTTCAGTTAAGCATCTACTCATTCTTGTAACACATTTGTATTGTTTTCTCACGATAATTCAGGAGTTTTAAAATAAGGCCCAGCACAAACCTGCCAGCCAATCCTGACTCATAATGATCCAAACCGAGGATCTGAGGCGATAAACCTTTACCAGATCTGATTGTCTCCACTTTCTCCAGAGGGCTGGCTGGGAGGACTGAACCACCAACCTTGTAGTTAGCAGTCTTGTGCTTACCATGACTCCTATATAAGGAGAATTTGGACAATGGAATTTTCCCACGAACTTTCTGAAGCACCTTTCTTATTAATCCTTTGCCAGATTTTAAGTATTGCAAATACTTCCTCCTTGACAGTGCGTTGTCTATGTTTTATATGTTTAATGAGAACACATTTTTTAAATGGAAGAACTTCAAATTATCCATTCTGGTGGCTAAAATCCAAAGGGGAAAAAAATTCTTCCCTTACAGAAATTTTCTAGTGTCCACTTTTACATTGAATCTATGGTTGTCCTAGAGAGCCCCGATGGTACTGGGGTTATGCATGGGCTGTGATCCCAAAGTGGGCGGTTCAAGACCACTAATAACTCCTTGCGGGAAAGATGGGGCTTTCTATTCCCAGGAACAGTTAGTCTAGGAAATCAAAGTGGGTACACTTCTACCCACTTTGTCCTACAGGGTCACTATGAGTTGGCATCAACTTGATGGCAGTGATTCCTTTTGTGGGGGGAGGAGAGGGTTATGGTCCTTTTGAGCTAATTTTGCACATGGCATAAGAGTAAAGCTTTCATTTCCTCCCCATAAAGTTGTTCTCAAACCATTTGTTGAAGACTATTCTTTCTCCTATTAAAGTACCTTGACATGTTTCACACACAAAGTAATTAAAATCAATGTGTGCTCTATTTCTACTCTCTTCCTTTGATCCCTGTATTTTTTATTAGGCCACGCCACAATATCTTTGATAGCACATTTTTATAAGCCTTTTATCAGGAAAGATAATTATATTCTATTTGTTCGCAATTATTGGAGCCAGTAAAGACTGCCTGCACGTGCATGAAGATTTTGAAATCACTTCGTCAATGTTCGCCAAAAGAACCGGCTGGGATTTTGACAGGCACTGGAATCCGTGACAATACTTGGAGGAAAGAGCTCAGCTTCAAATGCTGAGAGTCCTGTATACGAAAGTGGTCTCTTCTTCAGAGTGCCGTGTTGAGCCGTTTAGCTGACTAAACCACAGCTACCTGGATAAACTTTAAAAAATCGGAATTCAACACTTTCTGCCTTTAGAACAATGAAAGTAAGAGGTGCCGTCAAGTCGCAGGATAAGAGAGGAGCTGGGGAGTGGTCCCTGTGCCGTTTCATTCACATGATACGAATAAACACATGCAAACTCCAGAGATTGGATTCAGGCGATTTATTGTAAACAGGATAACCCTAGCACAACACCGCACCGGCTGTGTCACATGCCCTCTCTTTCCCCATCAACTTAGTCAAAGCGAAGGCTTTTTGTTTTTAGAGTCACAGGTTGATGAACAACGTGAAGTCTCCTTCACAAATCTCACACACCAAGCACCGAGTGAATAGCAGTACCCAGGGGGAGGGTTATTGCTCCTGGACTGCAGCTTGGACCTTGTGACATGAATCCACTGGTGTGCCTGAGTGACCACAGGGGCTCTGGAGCCGGTCTGGAGAGCAGACAGTGCTGGCGCACACTGAACCACCACCAGAGGCTACTGGAAGACGACAGATCGCGTCAGGCACCTTTCTCCTAGAAGTGACACGATTAAATTTCGCCCGTTAAAAAAAAAAGAAGAAAAAAGAGCTAAAAATTACTCAGTAGCACATGGTTTTCCACGAAAAGGTAGGTAGGATTTTACTTACTCTTCTAGCGGCAGATTTAAACACTCAGGGATAATTTTAGGTTTCTCGTGCAGAGTCTACAAATGCGTAAGACCAGAAGGGGCCATGACTCACAGGCCTTCTGAGGACTAGTCGGGGCTCACACACGCAGGCTCTTGAAGGGGGGGACAGAGACAGTTACAGCACCACGTGAATCTGAGAGGAGAAATAGAGCCCTGTGCTCAAGAGCAGCGCCCAAAATTGTGACTTAGCGTTCTTGCCCCAAATTTAGACCAATAGGAAAATGATGTACAAACTCAAGATGTGAAAAACAACTCCACTGAAAGAAATCTTGGGCAAACAATCCAGATGGAGGTAAAATGTCATTTGAAAAGCCTGTCCTTGACTTTGCCTGATGGCGGACAGTAAGGGCCTGGATGTAGCCGAGGAGGTGCCCAAGAAGGTTTCAGAAAGTCGATGGGGAATTGGGATTACCTGGACTTTTTGAAGAGCCTTCATAGTCACAATTTCTCTTGAAGCAAGTTTTACTATCAGTAAATATGTGAAAATAGTTGTTAAGTGTCGAGTAACAATTTGAGAAGAAATAGAATCTCATGAGGAAAGATTGTTTAAAGTCCACTCCAGTCGTCATGTGTGCTTGCATGTTTATATTTACAGGGTCAAAGCCACAAGCTTAACACTTAAGCAAGATTAGACTGGTGGCAACAAGGTTTTTTAGTCTTTAGGAAATCGTGCTATTTAAGAATCCAGGTTTGTTTGTTGATTTCTATCTCCAAAAAAGTGGCTTTGTATTTGTTGCTTTTTAAATTCATAGTGTGTATGGCCGGGGATGGGTGGGAGGGGGGTGTTTTGGCTCACATGCCGACTGCAACTTCATGGAAGTAAGAAGTTGGTTGGGTGTGTGTCACTGATGATGTTGTAAGGGTACATCCCACTCAGTGGAATCTGAAGGGGACCCTACTGGTCCTTGTTCAATAGCTACGGCGACATGTTGATGAGACAAAGTGGAGCTGTCAGGACCCTGCAAACCACAGTGAACACAAGACTGCCAATGGGGCTCGTCAGGAAGAAACAAGCCACAGTGACCCTGAGAAGTTCCTCTGGGGACAAAATTGATGTAAGATAACGATTTCTAGCACTGTAATAAGTAGGATGTTCTAGGGTTTTCCAGCATTTTACTAATTTATATATAAAACATGTTCAAATTTTATAAAAAGATTAAAACCATGCCTTCTATAATCAGCAGTTTCACGAATAAAAGACTATGTGGCTTTGTTCAAATGTAAGGTTCTCCACTGATGTACATGAAATCATCAAAAAAGAAAGCAAATTTGAGAATCACTTTTTAAAAAGGTATTACCTGTCTCATGTTTTGCAGCCTTCTCAGCCAACCTAAGAGGCTTAAAAAAAAAAATCTAACTTTTCTCCTGGAAAGTGACTATTTTACACACTAGGGATAGAAGATTCTATAGGAATATCATTCATCATTTTAAGCACTGTTTAATATGGGAGATTTCTCTTAGTAATGAAAAGAATTATTTTTAAATATTGAAGAGGCATGTATTTTTAAAATATTCTACATGTATAAGATTTTGTAATATAATTACTTTGGATTTTTAGTATTTCTACATAATGACAGCTTCATTTTTTCTTTTGTCTCTCAAGGAAACAAAAGCTACTAGTGGCCAAGATTGGTTCCCAGGCCCTGGCAGGTGCAGGAGTGAGCCACTTGCACTTTTCACCCAAGAGGACCTTCAGAGTTTTGCAGCCATGAAGTTGACATGTGGTTTCACGAGGGGGAACAATGGTAAACCACGCTTGAACTCCGTCATGTTCTGAATCACTTCAGGCTGCAAAGAAAGACAGTTTCCTTTTAGGATGTTTAACTTTAAAACACAGAACAAGACATACATCACAGTTTTTCTCCTTTTTTTTTTTGCACATACACACTAGCTTCTACCTTCTCTATTCTGATTTGCTGACCTATCTTCCTCGTCAGTAAAGATAGACGGCCTGGGATTGTTCTGGGGTGAGTCCCCACTCCAGGCCAGAGGGAAGGAAGACTTTGATCTTAATCCGGGCACAGAGGGGCACGCCACAAGTCCCACAACAAGACTCCAGCAGAGCAGTGGAGGCTAATGTGCCCCATCCACACGGGCCTGGTCACACTGGCAGGTGCTCAGGTTTCCTGCAATACTCCAGGCCGGGGACAGATGTGGCTGGAGATGATCACAGCACTGTCAGTCAAATGCTTAACCAAGAAGCCTAGGCAGACAAGGACAAGGGCTGGGTCTCTCTGTGGCTGCAAAGAGAAAAGTACAAACCACAGGAGCTGCCCAAAAAAACCCCAAAAAACAAAAGGCACACCTGGGTGGCCGGGCCTCCTAGGGGGACCCAAAGCAGAAGCTCCAAGTCCCAGTGCTCTGAATTCTCTGTCACGTGCATCCTGAAGCACAGCTCCTTCCAAGTAGGAGCTCCTCTAACTGTAAAACCTAATATGCCTATTTCTTACTTGCGGCAAGGCTGGTGCTTGTGACAAATTCACATCATTTTGACACGGGAACACTCCAACCACGGGACCTGTAAGAACAGGAAAGAGTAAGTGCTTTGCACTTGCCAATACAAGCACATCAGAGTGATTTTCAAAAGCACCCGAACCAGTTCCGGTTCATTTACAAACAGTATCTGGCCTGCTCACATATGCCTCAGTCCCTTCATATGGCCAGCTCCCAAGGACTCGGTCACTTCCTGCCTCCATCTGGAGTGAACGGTGATGGCCCATGATGTCCCCCGGGTAATGGTTAGGACCCTGTGAAGTCTTGGCTGCAGCAGCTCATATATGACCTGACTGGATCCTAAGGGTCTGGCCACCTCAAGGGCCCCAGTAACACGATCTAACTGTCCAGGAGGTGGTAATGGCTATGGGCAGATTTTGGCAGGTAATGGATGAAAGCTAGGAATGACTGGGCTGATAAACTGTTCCCCTTCCTCTCCACGTGCAGTGTTTTCAACAGCCTCTTGGACCCATCTCTCCAGCAGCCCCAGGCGTTTTCTTGGGATGCCAACTAGTTGCCCACTAGGGTTGCACCACCTGCTGCTGGCTCTCCTCCATTCACTAATGGCCCATCTCCCCCCTTCCTTTTGCATTGATAGTGCAGTCCCCTTCTCTAGTGCCCACCGCACGACCCCTTTAATTCTCTAATACTCCCTGAGACAGATGGTGACGGCAAGGGACAGCCACCATATGGCTTAATACGTGACTAAGAATACATTTCAAAAAGTCAATATTCCGTACTTACAAGAATCCATTTCCCTGGCAAGAACATGAACGGACACCTTATGTCTCCTTGGGGCGTCTACTGCCAACATTTCCTAGGCATAAAGCATAGCGAGATTACTCTTCCCCCCACTAAGAGCTTAATATAAAGTTCTCTCTGATGACTATGAAGAATCAACTATCATACAGAGAAAGGATTTCATTTATATTCTGTAAGGATTTGCTGAGCTAGGCAAGTGACGCTTCTTCTTCATTTGGGCAAGAAGTTTATGCCCCAGCTGACCTCTCGGACGCATTCTCCTCGGAGGGTTACTGGCTCTCCTGAAGAGAACCATTTTCTTTGGTCTCTGTACATTAGCAAGTGTCATTCTTAGCCCATGACTTGTTTGCATGACTTGTTCAAACTCCTATGGCTCCCACATATCTTAGCCGGGCTTAGAACCCAGTCAAGTACTCATCGGGATGGGACGTGCCGGGCTGCCCCTAGTAGTCCTCAGGGTCGATGGAGACAAGAGCCTGCGCTCAGTCAGGCAACCACACACTTCAGTCCCAGGAAAGAATCAAGACACAGCTGGGAAGCTGTGCCTCCTCACCTACCAAAAGAAAAGAGAAACTAACACTTATTGAGTCCTGCCTTGTGTCGAGTTGAGGCTGTCTGCTTCTGTAAAGATGTACAGCCTCCGAGACCTGGTAGCATGCTGCGTCAGAATCAACCTGATGGCAGTGGGCTTTGGTTTTGGCCCTGTATTGAACACACACCTAAATGTGCTTGTTTAATTTTCTGTAAGCTAAGTATCATGATGATTCTTATTTCAGAGACAGATTCTAAGGTGCAAAGAAATATAGTGACTTTCTTGAATCACAGTGCTTGTGAGTGAAGCTGACCTTCTTCCCACTACACCAGTACTGTCCTGAGGGATCCACCTGACAAGCAGAAGTGGTGACGCAGAGGTGGATCCTCTGGGAAATGTCTCCTGGCATTTTCCGAACACGGGGCCATTCTTGTTTCCCCCCAAAAGATAGCTCACCACAATTTGGGATGCCTTAGCCAAAAGTGAATATATTTTGTATCCTTCCATCATCAGTCATGCCAAATCAACACTATAGTTATTCATGGAGCAATTGTTATAAGCTGGTCTTGTGTGGGCTCAAAGGAAGTCATACTGACATTGCCCTGCAAACATGAGCAAGGCACCACTTATACCTTCAGCACACTCTTATTAACTTGAATCAACAGAGAGTACAACACCTTCAATTTCAAATTTTCAATTTCCTGACCAGCTCTGAACAATGTCCAGTTTTCTAAAACATATGGCTTCTTCACGCACAGTGTCCAAAGGAATACTAAGGTCCTGGGAGATACTTTCAGGTATTCTATGCCAAAAAAGGGTCTATGGTAAAATCAATGTAGGGAGAATTGTATTACTCAAAATGATTTAGAACTTTTAAAATACTAACATGCTCTGGGTTTCTCTAAGAATGGGGACAGAGCGTAGTCTACTACTTTTGTAATCTATTTTTTAGGTGTTCCTATAACAGTTTGCAGAACATTACCATACAATGGAGGGAAATGCTATCCTAGATAAAGTGCAAGCTAGTGTTCTAATTTCTTTTTTTTTTTAATTATTTATTAATTATTAATTGGGATTTAATACATGTATTATATTATTCTATACTTCAATCACATCAAGTAATATTGTACAACTGCTTCCACAATTCTTTTTCTACATGGACTCTAGTGTTCTCATTTAAGAGAAGATTCTGTTTAGAAACTGCTAAACGTTTCACAAATTCACTAATCATATACAGCTTGTATTTCCAATAAACAATTGAATTATGGGAGGAAAAACTGTTCAATGCTCCACAGTAAATTACATAGGACACCATTCTTTTGGACAACCATAAGGCATTGATAAGGCCTGAAATGGAAACGATCTGAAGGTGGCCATCTTCTTTTGTAAGCTATTGAGAATACATTTCTTACAAAATGAAACAGGATTAAATCATAAACAAATACAATAATAAAAAAAAGATCTTATACCATCAAGGAGGAAAACACTCAGATTTAAAGCATTAAAACCCTGGGCCTGGATATCACTAATGAAGACTATTTATTATGCACTTTAGCATCAATCATTTTACACACCTCATTTCAATTAACATTCCAATGAACCTCTCTCTTGTAGATAAGGACACTGAGGCTCAGAGCTTAAGTACTGTGCGGACATCACCGGGTTAGCTAGTGGGTGCTGGGTTGGGTCCTGCGTCTGTTTATAGAAGGCACACCCATGCCACTCCTGCTGTCACACAGGTAAAGGAACCCCAGGAGAAGCTGATGTCACGGAGTGAGATTAGCAACTTTAAACAACTGAATACTAGGTAGAGGTGTGTCCGTAAGGACTACTCCTGTGTGGAACTTCCTGTCCCTTATTGTTCTTTTGTAGCTCCCTTTAACTGTACACAGAGTACCTGGGGATTCTACTTCAGATCAGACATGTGACAGATAGACAGACACATCACAACAACAAAACCTTACTGCCACTGAGTCAATTCACACTCATAGCGACCATATAGGGCAGAAGAGAATTATAGGGCAGAGATTTTATATCTTTATGGGAGCAAGCAGTTCATCTTTTTCACGAGTAGTGATGGTGGGTTTGAACCACTTGACCTTATGATGCACAAACACAAACTTCAAAAACTTCAGGGAAACATTCCAGTATCTTTTAATCCCATTTTGCTGCAAACTTTTTGACACTCCCTTGTATTCACACATGCACGTACACGTGTGCCTGCGTGTGTATGTGTTAAATTTCAAACTGCAAAAGAATAAGAGTGACTTGGCCAAGCCTCTTGTCCTCCTCTTCTGAATGCAAACGCAAAGAAAAGAACCTGCACACATCTATTTCTATCGTCAAAATGGCTCATATCGCACTGCTGAAAACGGCCTATTAAAGCGATGCTTTCTGCTATCAAATTCTGACGCTCCACTGCCTTTTCTCAGCGTGAAGGTGTCAGCAGCTATACCAACACTTGTTTGCACACATGGAGAAGTGCTGCAGCTCTGCAGGGGGCTGGGTGGGAGGTGGGAAGGTGTGAGTAACTCAGGGAGAGTTCAAGATCACTGTCTTCCCCTGGGAAACAGTCAGCACTCTCAGGCCAAGGATTACTTGTTTTTCTCATGCCCCCACACAGCTCCAGCAGTGGTGCATGAAATGGGCATTGGAAACCCTTACACGAGAGAAAAATGAGGTTAGGCCTCATTGTCCAACTAATGGCACAAAAACCATTCTAAGCAGAACTGATCCAATGCCAGGCTCTGATTCTTGTACTGGAAGGTGTAACATATGCCTGGAAAATGACTGTGTAAAGCAGGTCTCCTCCTGATGACCAGACTGATGAGGACCAGCTTTCTGATCAAAGACTTGCATAAAGTACATTTCAGACACGAGGCAGAAGTAGCTGGAACCTCAAGATGCAATTCTAAGGCACTATGGTAATTAGAATATAATTTGCTCCTTGTTTTACAAAATAGGTACAGAAGTATTTTACATAAACTAGAGGTCACAATGAATTCTAAATATACACAGCACTTTCAATAAATAAAATTCCACCACAGGATACATTTTTATTTCTACATTTGACATGCTTATTACAAAGTATAAATATTTTGCTGTCTTAGATGTTTTCTTAATGTTTTTTTTAAATTGGGAGCTCTTAGCTCTTACCACAAGCCATACCTATATCCACTGTGTCAAACACATCTGTACATATGACGTCACCATTTAAAAAAAAATAGTTTTATTGGGGGCTCGTACAACTCTTAGCACAATCCATATATACATCCAGTGTGTCAAGCACATTTGTACATTTGTTGCCCTCATCATTCTCAAAACATTTGCTTTCCACTAGAGCCCTTGGCATCAGCTCATTTTTAAAAATTTCGTTATAGGCAGCTTATATTCAGATGGCTTGAGTTTCTGAATAAGCACTGCCATTCTGAACTCGTAAGAACTCTCTGAGTTCAACGATTTACTTACTTGGAGTGGCACCAAAATAAGTGAGAACAACCTGTAGTCGTTAGAGATTGGGAAAGAAGATAATCAAGTTCCCTATGTTTCTCTTCTTTACTTCTCCTTCCCACCAAACAAGCTGAATAATTTTCCTTGTGGGGTCGAGTGAGGAGCAGGAGAGAAGAAACCAAAAAAGGGGGTGACTAAAGAGTTGGTTTAGAAACTAGGAAGAGCTGTCATATTCCTTGGATCGGAGGGAGAAGAGAGTCCTGGCTGAAATATGAATTGTTCACATATTTTCCAACAGTGAGTGGTATGTGTTTGGGTGAAAAAAATACTGAAATCCATAAAAACATCTTTATGTATCCAGCCTGAATGGTCTCCAAGTAGCAACACACAACACAGATACACAGCATTTCCTTATCAGTCAAATCTACAAAAAGGAATTCAACTTACCTTGTAGAACTTGATAATATCTTCCTTGCTAAGTGTTTTCAAATAAGCCACTTCTGTATTATCTGAAAAAGCAATCACATAATAACTACCAATATTTCTCTTTTATGTAGCCCAGAGCACTATACCCAAAGACAATATGCTATACTCCATGTCTGTAAAGTGTCCACCTGCTACTGCCAGTAGGGAGGCAATCAACTCCAAGTAAGTTAGTGTAGTGATTCCGGCTCCTGGGTTAGAGACTGCAACTTTTCTGAGCCTCTGTTTTCTTATCTGGACGTTGGAGATACTATGTATTTAATGGGGCTATAGTGAGAACTAATGAGCCCTGTGGCACTGTGAGTTAGGCATTAGTCTGGAAACCACAAGTCAGTGATTCAAAGCTACCAGTTGCTTCCTGAGAGAAAGATGAGGCTGTCTGCTCCCATAAAGATTTACAATCATGAAGAGGGCAATGAATGTACAAATGTGCTTTAGACAATTGATGTGTGTATGGATTGTGGTAAGAGTTGTATGAGCCCCTAATAAAACGATGAAAAAAATATAATAAATAAAAAAGATTTACAATCATGGAAACCCTACCGAGGGTTGATATGACTTGGAACTGACTTGATGATTGGGGGTGGGGTGGGGTGAGAGGTTGGTGGTAAGATCTAAAGAAGATAATATGTGATCATACATATTATTAAGTATTAAGTTCATGGCAAATGTTCAATAAATGGTAGGTATTATTATTACAAAGAGCTAATCCAAAGGGCAGAAAAATGACAGGTGAGGACAATGAAGCCCCCAAAAGGTGACGTGGCTAAACTCTTCAGCAGCTTGGTATCGGAATGAGAACTCAACTCGTCCTCTAACTTTGAGGGTAGCCTATCGTAACTGCCTGTTAATCTCAACTCTTGAAAAAAGGCCAAGGAGACTCTGGGAAGCACTGACACTGAACAATTCCTACTCAGAGGGACTCTGTGGGACTGAGCAGAAATGCTCCTGTGGGTTTCCAAGGCTGTAAAGCTGTATGGGCGCAGAAAGCTTCATCTCTCTCGCTTGGCTAGTGGGTTTGAAATGCTGACCTTAAGGTTAGAAGCCCAATACGTAACTCACTACACCACCAATAATCTTTGGGGAAGCAAGACTCTCCCAAATCTCTGGAGTGACAAATCTCTGGAGATGTCAGTAAACAGGCAAACTGTTGGATCTCTGAGACCTCCATGGGAGCACTTGTCTTAAGTTCAACCTGCAAATTATACGATTTTCAGTGTTATGGAAAACAGATAGCTCTGTATCTATGCTCAATTATTAGTATATTACTGTGATGTACAGATGGATCGAGCTCTGGTATAGGAGAAGAAAAAAATGATAAAATTTTCATAGAAACTAGTTATGTTAGATGAAGGTTCTTAGATGTGCTAGCCCAATCCCAAAGCAGCAACAGAGCATCACGAATAAAGAGACTGGTGGAGCCCTGAACCCACAGGCATTAACTACTTCTTAAGCCTGGAACCGAACTCAGCACTGTTTTTCAATTTTCAGCCAAACAATAGACTAGTCTGTAATGTGAATAATAACATTAAGGAGGTATTTGAGATTACAAACGCAGCATTTCCCCAAGGACAAAGTTCAGAAGGCAGGAAGAGTCAGGAGAAGAGGAAGAATGGGAATGGGAACACAGGGATGGAGATGGGGGCTGGGGAATATTGGATTGTGGGGACTGCAACCAATGCCGGCAAACAGCACAAGGTGCAGGGAGGGTTGACGAGAAAGCTGGTTTGCTTGGAATACTCTGTAAACCGTCAGCTGATTCACAAGTGAAAAAACAAAACAGACACCTAAAAAATGAACAGCATTTTGTAAAATGGTCTCGGTGACCTCAAATGTAATATTTAAATGACATTGTGCTAGGGTTCTACTTTTACCTTACCTCGATCAAAATTGTATTGCTGGGAGATGATTTCTCCCCAGTATTTAGCACATTCTGCAGACAGCTTCTTTGGTTTGTCTAGTCGACGAATTGCTAATGCTTGAATGTGTTTCTGGAAGGCCTCTTCTGTCATGTCCTCTATGGACCTTTCCATGGTAATTAAGAAAGCTTCCACTCTGCTTTCTAGGTAGTGAGGTGGCTTTTCTGACTGGATTATGAATCGCAAACCCTGTATTCCGTTGGCTCGACGTGGTCCGCTGAAGACAATGTAGCCTGAAACACAAAGATTTACCAGTCAGTGCCCAGGCATCCGAGTATCAGTTCAAGGATATTTCTTCAAAATGTATGCTGTCGGAGTAAATAAATCCATGTTAGGACTCTGTATTATTCACTTCTAAAGATGTATTCATAATTAAGATGCTGTCAGTTCCTAAAGACAGAGCAGAAGAGCTCTCTAGAGAGAACTTTCTCCTTAAAAAACAAAACCATTCTTTATGTAACTCACATTCCGAGTCAACTCCTTTTAATCTCTGTAAATTAATTCCCTTCATCTATGAAATGCCAGGCTTGTCGCATCCCTGAGCCATCATCGTAACTCTGTTTCTTATCTTTCCACATTTGAGTTCCGTATGTGAACTTAGCTCTAGTATTGCCTTCCTTGGTCAGAGAATCCATTCCTGGACTGTCTCTCTTGAGACCCTCTCTCTCCAGAGTCCACACCAACCAAAGTCATACTGACACTGTCATCTTCTGAGCCCAGGCACAACTTACCTTCAATTCCTATTCTACGTGAGCTCTGGGCCTGCCTTTTTCAGCTGCTTTGCCTTGAACCACCATCTCCGAGAGCCGTGGCATATCAGGGCCCCCCTCTTCTTCTCTCAGCATACAAGCACACTGAAGACTTTATCTACTCTTCCAGATCCTCGATACATGGGACGATGCCCCAAAGCTCGTCTTTAAGTGGACAAGCCAAACCTGAAGTTTAGCGTAGCAAAAATGGAGCCATCTTTCTGTCCAAACTCCTTCTTGCCCCAGACAATGGTACCACCTTAACCCCAGATTCCCCATCCCCAGCCTGCCTTCTTCTAATTAAATCACACTCCAGTAGCACTCTAGCCATCAATGACTGCCCTCCATCAAGTCTACAGGATGGTTTCCAACACTGAACCCTGCATCAGACTCTCTCTGTGCTTCAGCATACATTACTTCCCCATTTCTCCCTGGTGTTATTCCATTTGCTTGGAAAACACTTCTCAACCTTCCTCTGTGACAATACTTAACTACGCTTTAAAAACCAGCAAGGGCCTGAAGACTTCTGGTATACCCGAGTATCTTCAGCGTAGCCTCAACACTCCAACTGGAATTCCTGGGGGGCACAAATGGTTAACCTAAAAGTTGGAAGGACACAGTTCCATGCTGGCACCAGGAGTCGGAATCAACTTGATTGCAAGTGGCAGAGTGTAGCTCTTATCTCAGTGTGCTGTGATTATGCCTTTACATGCCTGCCTTCCTGTAAACTCCTTCAGGGGAAGGGCATCTATAATGTATCCATTTTCAGTGTCTAGCACCTCTCGGTGATTCTTTAAATCTGCCCTCAGAGAGGGGAAAGATTGGTGTATAAAAGCTTCTTTGGCTGGCTGGTATTTAGTCTGTTTCCCACCTGGCCACCCATAACAGTTTGCATCTTCTCCCCAAAATGTCTTCATCGGTATGTATGTGATGTTGCTTCTCTTTTGGAAACGGGACCCATTAACTAGGTTTTCACCAGTCTCCTGAATAGAGTCATCCTGAGCACAGCGTTAGGTGCAAGACGTTCTCTGAGGACAATGGTGGCTTATCAAGCTCTCTGGAACCCGGCTGGTCCTGGCTGCCCTCACCCAGCTGCTCCTTGGTGCGCAGGGTGTTGAAGCAAGGCTCCGAGATGATCTGACAGAAGAGCTCCAGGAACATGTTCTCGGACGTGCTCTGCATGTCTGTCTGGTAGTAGATCTCGATGCCACAGTTATTGTGAATTTCATTCCTCTGCTGGTAAACAAACCATCCTCCTAGGAAGTTCCAAAAGAAAGCAAAAAGTTAAACAATTCTTTAGGATTTATTTACAACAATGTAATGTTGTACCTAATGTTTGACTTTTTAAAGTTCTTAAATGTTTGACTTTTTAAAGATGATTTGCTTGGTGTTCTTTGAAAATTCGAACCTGCAATTAATTTATTAATAATGTGAAACTCAATTAACTTAACCAAGGAAATCTTAAAATGGAGTGATTTGCACTCAGTAGGGTAGATCCTCAATAAACACTGAATTTCAAGGGGAAAGAAATTTAAAAAGACTAATTTTATGATTAAGCATTAATGCTAAATGTGGTCCACAGTTAATAAAATGACAAGGTGGTCTATGTCCCAAATTAGAACTGACTTAGGCCTATAAGAACGTTAACAGAAATACACTTATGATTTATTAACACAAATAAATATTGCTCACTGTATCTTTAATTTTAACAATTTATTTCCAGTATTGTTTTATCCATACCCACAATAAAGTTCACTTTACAAATAGAGCAGTATGTACTAAATTCACACAGACCAATTTCCTACTTTAGAGATGAAGACAGGTATTGAGAAATGGTGTGAATCTGTTCTAGGACAAAGTTGAGTAGTGAGAAGTGAGGCTACAATTCAGATCTGCTGATCAAATATTTTACCAACCACACACACACAGAAAAACAAAAATTTTTACCAAAGTTATGAATAGATGATCATGTTTTATAAATTACTATCTTAACTTCATGTGACCAAATAGATGCTGCTTAATAAGTTTGGTATAAAAAAAACCCTATTAATGCAAAAGTAACCCAACACTGCAAATCCCAATATGCTAATCATTATCAATTCTTTGTTAATTCCTTATAAAAATATAAATGTAGTAAGTACATGTTATGATATGTATCTGTAGCTTTTCTGAAGTGATTTCTGTCAGACTCCTGTGGATTTCTTCTAATAATATACTATAATTCCAAAATTTTTTTAATGGATTTTTCATGCTTCTCATATATATTTTTTGGTTTGTGATAGTGTTACTTCCTAATTCCATAATTATTCTCTTTCTGTGCTATTCAAGAGAAATTAATCCATTTGTAGTTACCCACACAGGAGCCCTGGTGGCACAGGGAGTCTACATTGGCTAATCAAAAAGTTAACAGTTCCAAACTACGAGTTATTCGTTGGCTCTTTGGGGAAAGATGAGGCTTTCTACTCCCATAAAGAGTCAGTCTCGGGAACCCACGGGGGTCGGGGAGAGTTCTACTCTGTCCTACAGGGTCACTATGAGTCGGTATTGACTTGACAGTGAGTTTGGTTTTGGTTTTGTAATCACCCACATATTATGTCAACATAGTCCCTTCTCAAAGTTAGAGCATTTCAACTTACTGTCAGGAAGCTGAACTTCTCTATACCGAACCAGCTGACTTGGAAGGAGAGGTTTGGTATGAGCATGTTCAATGAGGGTGTCTTCAACCATTTGCATAATTCCTAATGCAGCCTGAGGAGAGAGATGTTGCAGTACATTACACAAACACAAGCATACCTTGTCTGTAAAATAAAATGTTTACTAATTGTAAACTGTGTGATATAAAAACAACATGCTTGTGAAACAAACTATGCCATGTTAGCACATGGGCTTTCATTCTAGTTTAATACAGCTGACTCCCTCAAACCGGTAAAAACTCAATCCGTTCAAAAGTCAAAATGGGGTAGCAAAGAGAACCAGAAGCACAATCCACATGGACCCCAATGCTGGAAAACAGGCACTGCAGAGCCAGAGAGGTACTGGTGATGGAAGGTTGGTCCCTAGTGAATGATCCCAAGGGCAGATACTTGGGGTCGCAGCCTAACGAAGGAGGTGAGTACAAGGCTTTATTATGAGTAAAACTGACCCCGGTAAGAATCCTGTCTCTGCCAGTTCTTAACATCTGACCTTAGTCCTACTGTCTCAGAGGCAGCAGGGCAGAGTGGTGGAGAACGTGGGCTCAGAGACACTACCATGAGATTTGCAAGATACTTTCATGGGCCAAGGACTTTGTGTGTATGATTTAATTTAATCCTTATAACCCATGAGGTTGGTGCTACTGTAACTTTAATTTTATAGATAAGGAAATGGAGAAGAGATAAATTAATATGCACATTACATTTCTAGTAGCTAATATCTAGCAGAGTCAGAATATGAATTCAGATTATTTCATTATATAGTATGTGCTCTTCTCTGTGACCCCATCTTGTCACCCTCCACAAAGTGGGGACAATTATTCCCATTTCTCCTATGAAACTGAAAACAGGGGCACAGTTAATCACTATCATTCTACTATTCTCATGCCCTCTCCCACCTTCCTCCACAGAGCACAGAAGGCTGGGCAGACTAATGTGCTTTATAATCACTCTGTGCTGGCCAATGATCTAGATAGACAGGGGGAAAGTGCTATGCACTGATGTCTGAAAGACTGCTAACAATGACACATAGAACAAGCATATTACTCACCTGCTTTGTTATGTTTCCATGGAGAAGTGCTTCAATGTGCAACCGGGACAGAAGCTGAGGTATGAAGGCCTTAAGGCGAGGGAGGGTGACATCTATAAAGGTGTAAGAAACAGTAAGTTCTAGCTACAAGTTTTATTTTTTCCCTTTAACTTTTTACTCGAGTAACTTCAGATTTGCACCACAGTCTCCTCCAGTCTGTGATAGCTCCTGGTCTCTCCCTGTCTTTCATAACCTTATGGCTTTTGAACAGCGCTGTACAGTTACTTTATAGAATGCCCCTCATTTGGATTAGTCCAGCATTTCACACAATTAAATTGAGCTTACACATTACTAGAAAGACAATCACAGAGGTGACGTACATTTCACCTCATCTGGATCAGTGGATCTAAGCAGGGGACACATGATGTTGATCTGTTGTAGTATTTAATTCTGATCACTTGGTTGGGGTGATGTTGACTGTATTTCTGCACTATAAATTAACTACTTGTGAAGGGGGAGGAAGAGAGACTGGAGCACGTCCTGGCCCACCAAGACTTGAGGACCGTATCTCTGCTGAAAGCAGCCAGTCCACAGAGAGAACCATATGGCCGACCCCACTATGAGACACCACGTCCCTCAATGACCCATAGCCCTACAGGGGATAACACTGGAGACACAGTGTAGAAATTGTGCTCCATCTGATCCCACCACACCGACACAAAACACTAAGGGTGTACAACAGAACAGCAAGGGAAGCAGAGCAAGGAAGTTCCGAGGGAGTACCAAATATAGACTTTGGGGACAGGACGTGGCACCACATCACACTCGACCAGAAAACATTCCTAAAGGTCAGCAAACAGACCTTGAACTATTTACAGGCTTTTCTTTTTTTTTGTCATTGGTTTTTTTGTTGTTGTTTTCTTTTGCTCTGTCTTGTTTTTGTGCCTATTATTATCTC